GGAGCACAGGTGACAGACTACCCGCAGCAGATGTCCATGCCCCGCCCCCGCTTCCCGCAGCAGGGCCAGCCGCCCGCTGGCGCCGGCCGCGGTGCCCCCATGCAGGGTGGCGCGCCCAACTACATGATGATGGGCCGCGGCCCGCAGGGCCAGCCGCAGATGCCGCTCTCTGCCCAGCAGCCCGTCCTCATGCCGCAGCAGGCCCAGCAGCAGGCTCAGGGCGCCGGCCAGCAGGACCCGCTCACCCCGTCCGTCCTCGCTGCCGCCTCGCCGAGGAGCAGAAGGCCATGCTTGGCGAGCGTCTCTTCCCGCTCATCCAGCCTGTCCAGCCGCGCCTTGCCGGCAAGATCACTGGCATGCTTCTGGAGATGGACAACGGCGAGCTCCTCAACCTCCTCGAGTCGTCGCAGGCTCTCCAGGAGAAGATCGCCGAGGCCGTCAACGTCCTCAACCAGCACGCCGCTGGCGAGGCCCAGGCTGACGCCTAAGCTCTGCCGTCGTACTGTATGGTTTCATCGCACTTCACCCCCCCCATCCCATCCCATCCCATCCTATTCATCCCCCAACTACGTGTGTGCTCTGGGGCTTTTCCCCTTTCCCAGAGCGCGGCGGAACGAACAACAAAGGTTTCGAGAGGCCAATCCTACCCACTCTATGTGTGTGTGTGTGTGTGTGTGTAGCGTCCTGTGTTTGCCTCAATACCCAACGACGTCACGTGCGACACCTACTTGTGATGCCGGACAACAACCGAGGGAAATGCCATGGCCTCGTCAACGCTCGTTGCGCCTGCAATGCCTCCACTCGGGGTGCAGATCTCCACGGTCTCGCGCTGTGGCTTGCTGCCGCTGATGAGGCCCATGCCGGAGAGGTAGTCATCAAACCCGGGGTCTCCCACAGGCTCGGCGTCCGAGCCCGAGAACGAGCCCGTCCAGCTCGTGCCCGAGCCCGAGCCCGAGCCCGAGCCTGAGCCGGTGATCGAGCCGGAGCGATCAAGGGCGCCGGTGGTGGCGAGCGGCATGGCGTCCGACGACGGCGCGGTAGCGGCGTCGATCTCGCGTGGCGTCACAGGATTCGACGACGAGACCAGGTCGGACGAGTGGAACAGCTCGACGCACTCCTCGGTCGTCCACGAGGGGAACGACGAGCTCGAGACTGAGCTCGAGACCGAGTTTGAGACCGAACCCGAGCCCGAACCCGAGCCCGAGCCCGAGCCCGAGCCTGAGCCGTGGCGGCGCGGGGGCGGCGGCGAGCGCGAGCGCGAGTGAGAGGTCCGTGGCGGTGACGAGCTCGAGGCTGAGCCGTCGTGCGAGACGAGGGCCTCCTCGGCCACATTGGGAGAGGCGGTGATGCGGCGCGACTCGATGACTTCGGCTTCGAGAAATCGGATGGTGCGCGAGGCCTTCTTGCCGCGGAGCTTGCGGCGGCGGCGCTTGCGGCGGTGGCGCTTGTCGTCGCCGCGAGCGGCAGCGTTCTCGGCCTCGAGCGCGGCGTTGAGCCGCTTGATCCTCAGGGCGCGCTGCGCCTGGACCCAGGCGAGCTGCTCGGGCGTGAGCAGCTCCTCGGCGACGTCTTTCTCGCGCACAATAAGGACAGCGTTGACGCGGGCCCGGGTAAGACAGTGCAGGCCGACCGAGTCCTTGACGCTCCCGCGGTGGCCGAGGACCAACAGCGGGTGGCTCGGATGCGCTGCCACAAAGTCAGAGATGACGTCGCGGACGTCGCGCTCGTCCTGGACCAGCTCGTGCGAGAACTTGAGGTGGTACGCCTTGGCAATGCCGGCATAGGTCTGCATCCGCTGGATCACCAGCGCATGGTTGCGCTCGACAAGCTCAGCAGCGCGGGCGGCGGCTTTGTCGGCCGGTAGCGAGCGCCGCGCCTTGAACATCTTTGTCGCCCGCGCTACCCTCGTCTCCGGCTGGTATACGTAGAAGCAGTGGATCGAGTCGCCCTCGCGGGCCACGGTGGTGACAAGCGTGTTGAACGCGGCGTGCGAGTACCGCGACTTGTCGACCGCGCACAAGTACGCGTTGGAGCCCGACGAGGCCGCGATGCGGTACGACTGGGCGTGCTGGAGCGAGCCGAGCGAGTCTTCGGTCTCGGCCTCGCTCTCGCCGCCTGCCGGCGATGATGAAGCTGACGAGGAGAAGAGGTGGTGGCGAGCGGCGGCAGCAGCGGGGCCGTCGGCAGCGAGGCCGGGTGCAATGGCCGACACGACGGGAGCAATGTCGGCATTGCCCTCGTTCTTGACTACGATGACGGAGCAGGGCGCGTTGCTGACAACGTAGTGTGAGACCGAGCCGAGAACGAGGCGACGGAGGCGAGTGACACCGCGGGCGCCGAGGATGATGCCGTCTGCGGCGACCCGCTTGGCGACGTCGACCAGGGCCGGGCCGGGCTTGCCGCGCTTGACGTAGACCTTGGCCGATATGCCGATGACGTGTGTGAGGGCGAGGGCGTGCGCGTGCAAAAAGTTGTAGTGCCGCCGAGCCGCATCCTTGGACGTCGGCCTGTTCTTGACCACCGAGACGAGGACAAGCGCGTCGCGCGCAGGGTTCACCATCCCTGCCGCGTAGTCAAGCGCCACCAGGGCGTCGTCGCTGTCTGTCACCGCCACCACCCACGTGTGCCGCCGCACGAGGTGGCCGCCGGGCGTGAACGCGCTTGCGTGGTCACTCACGCTCATACCGAGTGGGAGGGTGAGGTGGTGGGTGGCCTGCCTGTGGCCGGGGTGCCGGCTGTGGTGCCTGTCGTCACCGTCGCAGGTGGTGTGGAACAATTGGGTCAGTTTGGGCGGTGGCGGCTGACGCGCATTGCCGCAGGACGTTTTTGCGCGTTTTGAGGTGGGTGGGTGGGTGGGGGGAGGGGAGGGGGGGAGGGGAGGGGGGAGGAAGAGGAGAGTGGTGCAGCGGTGTGGTGGAAGCTTGTCAGCTGTTTGGCGTGAGGCTTGGGTTGGCGATGTACTGCGCGTCGAGCGGCCGGCCACTTGCCGCCGTCAACGATCATCATCATCATCATCATCATCATCATCATCATCATCATCACCAGGGTGCCAAGCGACACAATATGCGCCGTGGCCCTTGCTGCATGTAGCTGACGACGGAGTCAATGGATTCCGAACTGCCTGTTCCCCCCCCCCCCCCTCCTCCTCCGACCACGCATGACCACGTCATACCCCAGGTCATCAAAAATCCCTGCCTGCCCGTCCACAACAGCCGACGGTCCACTTCCGCAACCTTTCCCGACTCGCCAGTCACCACCCCTCTTCATCCACACAAACATGGCTGCTAACGTTACCGGAGCTGCCGTCGGCATTGACCTTGGCACCACGTACTCGTGCGTCGGTGTCTGGCGCAACGAGCGCGTCGAGATCATCGCCAACGACCAGGTACGCCTCACCTCCCCCCTCCTCCCCCGCCTTGCCCATACCCTCCTCCCTCGGCTTCCTCCCACTCTCTCTTCTTCGGCGACCTCTCGCCGGCCTTCATGAAGGTGTGACATTCCAATTTTTGAAGACCACGCGCCACCGCCTTCCATCGCCGCCTACGCCTGCAAGGCCCCGCCTCCATTCCCTGGACCTTGCCCAATGGCCGCAAGTCCTTGCACCAACTTCCTCCTTCCCCTCCTTCCCCCCCTCCGCCCCCTCCCCCCTCCGCCCCCTCCCCTGGACGCTGTCCATGGAGGCGGGCGGGTGGGCGGGTGGAGGGATTGGATGTTGGAAATGTCCCCACCCACCCACCCACCAAGACTCACCGCAAAACACCACAGGGTAACCGCACGACCCCGTCGTACGTCGCGTTCACCGACTCTGAGCGCCTCATCGGTGACGCTGCCAAGCTGCAGACCGCGATGAACCCGCGCAACACGGTGTTCGACGCCAAGCGCCTCATCGGGCGCACGTTCTCGGACCCGAACGTGCAGTCGGACATGGCGCACTGGCCGTTCAAGATCATCGACCAGGAGACCAAGCCGATGATCCAGGTCGAGTTCCAGGGCGAGACCAAGGTGTTCTCCCCGGAGCAGATCTCGTCGATGGTTCTGACCAAGATGAAGGACATCGCCAAGGCGTACCTCGGCGAGGAGGTCAACAACGCCGTCATCACGGTGCCTGCGTACTTTAACGACTCGCAGCGCCAGGCGACCAAGGACGCCGGTACCATTGCCGGGCTCAACGTCATGCGCATCATCAACGAGCCGACTGCGGCCGCGATCGCGTACGGCCTCGACCAGAAGGGAGAGGAGAAGAACGTGCTCATCTTCGATCTTGGTGGCGGTACCTTTGACGTTTCCGTCCTCACCATCGAGGACGGCATCTTTGAGGTCAAGTCGACTGCCGGTGACACCCACCTTGGCGGTGAGGACTTTGACAACCGCCTTGTGGACCACTTTGTGCGTGAGTTCAAGCGCAAGCACAAGAAGGACATCACCGGCAACGTCCGTGCCATGCGCCGTCTCCGCACGGCGTGCGAGCGCGCGAAGCGCACGCTCTCGTCGTCGACGCAGGCGTCGATCGAGATCGATTCGCTCTTTGAGGGCATCGACTTCTACACCTCGATCACCCGTGCCCGCTTCGAGGAGCTCAACCAGGACCTCTTCCGCAAGTGCCTCGAGCCCGTCGAGCGCGCCATCACCGACTCGAAGCTCTCCAAGTCGGAGATCCACGAGATCGTTCTTGTCGGTGGCTCGACCCGCATCCCGCGCGTCCAGAAGCTCCTTTCGGACTTCTTCTCGGGCAAGGAGCCGTGCAAGTCGATCAACCCGGATGAGGCCGTTGCCTACGGTGCCGCCGTCCAGGCCGCCATTCTCTCGGGCTCGACCGACTCGAAGGTGTCGGACCTGCTCCTCCTCGACGTCACGCCGCTCTCGCTCGGCCTCGAGACCGCCGGTGGCGTGATGACCAAGCTCATCCCGCGCAACACGACGATCCCGACCAAGAAGACCCAGACGTTCTCGACGTACTCGGACAACCAGCCTGGTGTCCTCATCCAGGTGTTCGAGGGCGAGCGCGCGCGGACCAAGGACAACAACCTGCTCGGCAAGTTCGAGCTGACCGGCATCCCGCCGATGCCGCGTGGCCAGCCGCAGATCGAGGTCATCTTTGACATTGACGCCAACGGCATCCTCAACGTGTCGGCCCAGGAGAAGTCGACCGGCAACATCAACAAGATCCAGATCAAGAACGAGTCTGGCCGTCTCTCCAAGGAGGAGATCGAGCGCATGGTGTCCGAGGCCGAGAAGTTTGCGGCTGACGACGAGAAGGTCCGCCAGAAGGTCGAGGCCCGCAACGGCCTCGAGAACTACGCGTACTCGCTCCGCTCCACCCTCCGCGACGACAAGCTCTCCGTCCCTGAGGCCGACAAGACCACGCTCAACGCCAAGATTGACGAGGTCATCGCCTGGCTCGACGAGAACCAGGAGGCCGAGAAGGAGGAGTTCGAGCACCAGCAGAAGGAGCTCGAGGGCATTGCCAACCCGATCATCCAGGCTGCCGCCCAGGCTGCCGGCGCTGCTGGCGGTGCCCCTGGCGGCATGCCCGGTGGCATGCCCGGCGGCATGCCGACGGGCGCCGCCCCGGGCGCGCCCCCTGCCGCTGCTCCGGCCTCGGAGCCCACCATCGAGGAGATCGATTAAGTTATTGTATCTTGCGGCGAGCCGCTTTCCTGCGCCTCGACCGCCCGCTGCTATTTCCAATCTGTCACCAACCCTGTGTGAATGAAGACCCTTTGTTTTTCAGCAGCTTGCGTGTGTGGCGTGTGTTGGCAAGTGCGGCCGGAAGCATTGGCGCAGAGAGGCAAAAGGCCGAAACTCGTCAAAAGTCGTCGTCGAAAACCACGTTCACCGAGTCAAAGCCGACGTAGATGCGGCCAGAAGCATCGGTGCGGACAGGCTTGCGGTCGAGGCAGAGGTCGCGGGCCGAGGAGGGGAGGAGACCGCGGCCGGAGCGGAGCGAGAACCGCCACTTGTGGCGCGGGCAGCGAAGCGAGGGCTCACCCTCGAGGTCCTCGATGTCGCCGGCCTCGAGCGCGGCGCCATTGTGCGGACAGACGTTGCCGATGGCAAACCACTCACCGCAGTACTTGATGAGGACGAGCTCCTCACCATTGATGCTGACCTTGCGCGGCGCCTGCGCCCGCGGCTTGCGGACGACCCGACCCGTCACGGTGTGCATCTCGACCCATGGAATGAGATCGGCGTCCGGCACGTCGCCAGCCGTGAGATCGTCGACCGGCACCCATATGAGCTGGTCGACGTCGACTGGCGTGGCCACCCGCTTGGGCGGCAGCGGTTGCCGGGCTGCTGTTCGCTCGTGGCCGGCACTCCCGCTGCGGACGCTGCCGCCCGGACTCGACGACGTTCCCTCGTCGCTCCACGCGTTGCTGAGAACCGGCAGCACGCTCGGCTCCGGCAAGACTCGCACCGTGCCTCGCAGCGACGGCGGCGCCATCAGCGGCGCCACCACCACTCCATCAATCGATGGCCCTGTAGCCACCGGTCGCAGCACGCCAGCTCCCGAGCCGCCGACCCGCCGCCCGGCAAGCACGTTGGTCACCCGGCCTGCTGGCGGCACAAACGCCGACGTCTGCAGCGACGCACTCGCACCCGACACCACCGGTGCGCCCCTAGCCGACGACACACCAGCAGCAGCGACCGATCCCGTCCTTGATCCAGCCCCACCTGCCTGCGTTCCTGCGGCGACTGAGGCATCAGCTGCGCCTGCGCCTGATCCAGCGCCCGCTGCTGTGCCAGCCGGACCGCCGCTTGATGGCGGAGCCCCACTTGTCTGCATCCCCCGGCGATTGAAGCATCCCCTGTGCCCGTCTCTGCGCCTGCGTCATTGCTTGTGTCAGCTGGCTGCGTCCTGTGGCTCTGGTCATTGCCGGCAGGTTCGCGGCCGCTGCTAGCGCCACCGGTCGGGCGAGGTCCGGGCGGGGTGGCGGCGCCGGGAAGACGAGGGCCACCACCGGACGCCATGCCTGTGTGTGTGTGTGTGTGTGTGTGTGTGTGTGTGTGTGTGTTTGTGTGTGCTGGTGGCTGCCTCCCCGTGCGTCACGTGGTGCTTGGTGCCGGTGGGCGGTCGGTGGGCGGTCGGTCGGTGGGCGGTCGGTCGGTGGGCGGTCGGTCGGTGGGCGGTCGACCGGGCTAGCTATTGTGTGCCAGAACATCAACCATCATTGGCTTTTTTTATCCTACTCACGCGCTAGTGGTCGACGACGAGCCGGCATCGTACTCGTGGTCAACTTCGGCGACGCGGAGGAAAACCTCCTCGAGCGAGACCGAGCCAAGGACAAGATTGACGGCACCGAGCTTGCGCTTGCGGGCGGCAAAGTCGGTGAGGAACTCGCCGAGCTTGTCGACGGTCTCGAGCGGGATGACATAGTCAAGATCGCCGACGTGCGAGTCAGGTTGGATGCCGTCGAGGCGCTCGGCGACAAAGTCTGCGATGCGAGCGCGCGCAGACTCCGACTTGGGGATGATAGTGATCTTGGAGCCGGTGCCGTACTGCGACTTGAGGTAGCGCGCCGTGCCGATGGTGGTGATCCGCCCGGCGGCCATGATTCCGATGTTGTCGCCGAGCACGTCGGCCTCCTCCATCGAGTGCGTGGTGAGCACAATGACCCGTCCGGCCTTCTTGGCCTGGATGAGGTTCCACACCTGCCGCCGCGACACCGGGTCCATGCCCGTCGTCGGCTCGTCGAGGAAGACGATGCGCGGATCGGCGGTAAAGGCGATGGCCGTCGAGAGCCGCCGCCGCATTCCGCCCGAGTACGCCCCGGCCGTCACGTCGCCCACCGAGGTCAGGCCGACGTCCGCCAGCCGTGCCTCGACCTCGTTGTACACTTCATCGCCCGGAATGTCCTTCAGCCGCGCGTAGAGCTCGAGGTGCTCGCGCGCCGTCAGCTCGTCCCACAGGATGTCGTGCTGAGGGCAGACGCCCATGACCGCGCGGATCCGGTCCATCTCGGTCTTGATCGACATGCCAAACACGTACGCATTGCCCGCAGTCGGACCAAACAGGTTGAGAAGCATGTTGAATGAGGTTGACTTGCCCGCGCCGTTATGTCCCAGAAGCACAAAGAGCGAGTCCGCCGGCACGCCGAGCACCAGCTCCTGCACCGCCACAAAGACAGACTTGCGGAGCCCACACCACTGGCGCGAGGTAAACTCCTTGCGGAGACCGTAGACCTTGAGCCCGTCGTTGCCCGCAAACGCGCCGCGCGATGCCTTGGCATCCGCAAGCTGCGCGTGGACGTTGGCATCGTGCGTTTTGCCCGCGCCAGACTCGCCGAGCGCCTCCAGCGCCTCGTCCGACGGCTGCGACGCCCCAGCGTCACTCGCATCATGCCGCGAGAGCAGGCCCCAGTAATAGGGCGAGAACGGAAAGTAGAACCGCTCGCCCTTGGACGCAATCGTGTCGGCGTACCACAGCAGAATGGCGAAGATGAACACGTCTGCGATCATCCACTCGTACACCGAGGTGAGCGGAAAGTTGGAGGTCGAGTCACGCTGCGACCACGACATGCCGCGGTCATCGGTCTGATCCGTGTACGACGCAATGTCGAACATGCCCTTGGAGAGAAGGACCGGCGGGACGAGCGAGGCAAGAATCGGGTAGATCGTGCCCTCGCCAGACTCGCCGTACACAAGCTGCTGGAAGACCTGCGCCATGGTGCCCACGAGGAAGACAATGAACCCGAGCGACGTCGCTGTCGCTGCCTTGCTCACAAACACAGAGAGGAAAAGCGCCACAGGCACCATCGCCGCCGCAAAGAGGAGGAAGAGCACAAAGTACGTCCGAAAGTCGTTCTCGAGGAAGAACCGGAACTGGAAGATAGCGCCCGAGATGATGATGATGAAGACCGAGATGACGTTAAAGACAAAGGCCGTCACCGCCCACGAGGTCCAGTACGGCAGCGAGCGCAGGCCCATGAGCCGCATCGCTTCGCGCAGGTGCTTCTCCTTCTCGCTCACCACAGCACCGAGCACAATCACAAAGTTGAACAGCAGCGCCGCGTACACAAACGTCGGCCCGGCAAGCGCAATGAGATCGGCCTGGAACTCCTCCGGCCGCGCAAACTCGAGGAGCGAGAGTGAGTATTCGATGTCGTCGTTGACGCTCGCCGATCCAGTGTAGACCTGCGAGCCGAGCTCCGCCAGCAGCGCACGCTCCACCGCCGCCGTCATCGGAAGCAGCGTGTACTCCTGTGAGTCGACCTTGGTACCAAACGAGTACGTCGACGTCTTGTTGTACTGGATCGTGTAGCTGAGGTGCTCCACAACCCGCCCGCCGGACGGCACCGCAGGCTCGCGCACCGCAAACTCGTACCCGCCCTGCGTCGAGTTGGGGTGCGAGAGGAGATACGAATCGAGCTCGCTCCGCGAGCCAAACTGCCGCACTTCGGAGGTCGGCAAGCCGGCGTCGACCCGGATCCGTTCCACGACCCTACCCACAAGATCGCGCGCCCCGGCAGAGAGACTCGCTGCGTTCTCTAGCACCCACGCAATGGAGATGCATGGTCCCACACTCAGCCGGCCCGAGATGCACCGCGGGTAGGGCCGGATGGACTCGGTCGACGGCGAGCGCTGCGGCTGCTGTGAATCGTTAAACTGCTGGTTCTCCTTGTACGCAAACGAGAGGATGAAGAGCGCAAGGATGGCGAGCACTGGGACCACAAGCTGGACCGTCGTCGATCGCCGCGACACCCGCGCCACCGCCCAGTTCTTCTTCAGCAGAATCCATGTCTGCCGTCCCGTTCGCGTCGCCCACGCCACGCTCTTGTCCTTGACTCCGCGCGGCGACTCCGGCACCGATGATGCGTACCGCGATGATGTATCCGCCATGCTCGTGCTGCTCTCGCCGCGGTTCTTGCTCTTGCTGCTGCTTGCGTCTGCGTACGTGTACGTGTACGTGCTTGTGCTCTGGCCAGTGCTCGTGCTCTCAGACATGCGCGGCTTGGCCTCCTCCACCACCTGCTCCGGGGCGATGCGGATCGGCGTCTTGGACAATACCTTCTGAAACCGTCAACTCGGTCAGACTACGCCGTCGATGCCGTCAGTCCAAACGTGCGGAGTTTGGGTGCTGCGGCCGGCGGTAGGTCGTGACGATGCGGCAATGTGACGATGCGGATGTGTCCTGGTCGCCTGCCTCTGACTCGCTTGGTCTCTTCTTGCTCGTTGAGGCCGTGTCGTCAAGTGTTTGAGGGATGTAGGTGGCCGTGGGTGGAGGTAGGCAACCCAAATGTGGCTTGTGATGGTGGCGTGCGCCGGCAGTGGGGGGAGGTGCTGCGGATATGGCCGGGGTTTTGTCCTGCGACTGACGTGTCGATGACTTCACAATTCGCCGCACGGGATTATCATCTCCATTTCCGCATATGCGGGCTGTCCAAGACCACGTTGGCGACGAATGGCACCTTATCCACTGCAGATATATAGCCATCATCTAGATCAATATGTAGATCTTGGCGTGAAGTATCCAGCAATTGAACTTTGGTCTCGTTGTTGTGGCTATATCGCTCTTGAGCGAGTGGTAAAGTCCTCTTGTCGTCTTTTCTTCGTCTCGGAAATACGCGACAAGCCGCGTGCGCGTGGCACACATTCCCCCGCAACTGCCGCGGCAACAAAACAGCAGCGGAATTCGGCGGGGGCGGGTGGCGGAGCGGGTGAACACGCCCATTTAGCTCATCACTTGCACGGACAACGTAGCGCGGCAAGTTGATAATTGATGTCGACGCTTGCGCACACCAATGCGCTCTTTCGCAAGTCGCTCGCCTTTCAGAAGCGCCAGCGTGGCTCCAACTGCTGCCAGGCCATGACGGGAGTTGTGGTCGTCGTCCTCATCATCCTCCTCCAGGCCGTCGTCGATGACCTCATTTCCGAAGAGCCGGTCCTCAGCGATGCCCAGCTGCGGAATCCCATCTCGTACCCACCGTACTTTTTGCGATCGATTCCCGGCACCGATCTGACCTGTGCTGGCATGCCCGATGGCCCGCTGCCGACTCTGTGCAACGCGACCGACGGATCATGTCCGGCAAGTCAGCCCAAGGGCGTCTTTGATGGCCAACTGTGGGCCGCTGCTGCACCGAGCCTCCACCCGACGCTCGGATCGCTGGCTAAGGCCGACGGCTCGGGCGGCTCGGGCTTGCTGGGCAGCTTTGCCACGGATCCGCTCAACGTCCACCTCGGGCAGTCGTTCCCGGAGTTTGATGCCGCCGACTACTGCCTCAACGCCACGTACTACGCGTACCCGGTCTCGGTCGATGTGTACAACACGACGGCGCCGATCCAGGCCAAGCTCTACAACGCATACCAGGTTGTGGGCGCAGAGGCGCTCGGCGGGTACTACATCAAGGATGTGCAGATCTCTGCGGGCACCAAGCTCGTCCTCGACTTTGCAGCGCACTACAACAAGACGCTGTCCAAGGGCCAGGACGTCCCGCGGCTCTCGTCGCTTCTTGCGGCGGCGGCGCTCAAGATGTTCTCGGGCGAGCAGGTGACGATGGAGCTCGCCGGCCTCCGCGACTTTCCGCGGACGGTGGAGAACCCTAGCCTCGACATTGCCTCGCTCCTTGCACCGTTCCTCTTCCTGTACATCTTCCAGCTGACGATGCCGATCATGCTGACGTCGATGGTGTTTGAGAAGGAGCACCGGCTGCTGGAGATCATGCGCATGTCCGGCCTCCGCATGCCGGCGTACTGGATCGTGACGTACATGTTCAACTTTATGCTCTACTCCGTCTCGGTCGGCTTCTTCTGGATCATGGCCGCCCTCGCCGGCTTCAAGTTCTTCACCAAGAACTCGTTTGGCCTCGTCTTCTTCCTCCTCTTCCTCTTTGGCCACACCCTCGTGGCGCTCGTCTTCTTCTTCCGCGTCTTCTTCTCACGGACGTCGACGGCCACCGTTGTCGGCTACCTGTGGATCTTTGCCACGGGCCTCATCACCTCGGAGATCTTCTACACCTACATCCAGCAGTCCGAGACGCCGCAGGCCATCATCTCGCTCTTCTCGCTCGTCCCCACCTTTGCCTTTTACCGCGGCATCGTCGTCCTCTCCAACGGCGTCGCCTTTGGTGAGCCGGGCCTCGAGTGGTCGAACGTCAACCATCCGCGCGTCCGCCTCGGCGAGGTCTACCTCTTCCTCTTCTTTGAGTGGATCGTCCTCCTCGCAGCCTCGGCCTACCTCGACCTGGTGGTCAAGTCGGAGACCGGCATCTCGCGCTCGCCGCTGTTCTTCCTCGAGAAGCGGTCGTGGGCCTGGCTCTGCGATCGCAACCGCACCGACGACGCCGACTCGACCTACGACTCGACGCCCATTGCTGCGTCGGTGGACGGTGAGCCGGAAGACGTCGCCGCCATGCGCGAGACCATCCGCACGGCCGAGAGCCAGTACGATCTGCGCGTCGCCGACGTGTCGGTCACGTATCCAGCTCGCGGCGGTGCGCCACAGAAGGAGGCCTGCAAGTCGGTGACCTTTGCCATCGAGCGTGGGACCGTGTTTGGTATGCTCGGCGCCAACGGTGCCGGCAAGACCTCGTGCATCTCGGCGCTCTCGGGCCTCATCGAGGCCACCTCGGGCACTGCTCACATTGCTGGCTACGATGTGCGGCAGCAGACGCGCGCGGCGCATCTCAACCTCGGCGTCTGCCCGCAGCACGATCTGCTCTGGCTCTCACTCACCGGACCCGAGCACGTCCGCTTCTACGGCCGCGTCAAGGGCCTCTCCGGCTCTGAGCTGACCGAGGCTGTCGACGACGTCCTCGATGCTGTCGATCTTGGCGACGACGTGACTCGTGCCAAGAAGGCCGGCGAGTACTCGGGCGGGATGAAGCGGCGGCTCTCGGTCGCCTGCGCACTCGTCGGCTCGCCGCGGGTGGTCGTCCTCGATGAGCCGACCACCGGCCTCGATCCCGAGTCGAAGCGCAAAGTCTGGAATGTCATCCAGCAGTACAAGGCCAATGCCGCACTCCTGCTCACCACCCACTCGCTCGAGGAAGCCGAGGCACTCTGTGATGACGTCGGCATTTTCATCGATGGTCAGTTCAAGACCACTGGCTCGGTCGCTGAGCTCAAGACCCGCTACTCGTCGGGCTACAAGCTCGGCGTGACAGTGGAGAAGGACGCCCACGACGAGGCGCACGCCTTCATCAAGCGCGCCGGCGGTAAGACGACCAAGCTCCTCAACTCGCTCGCTGCCGTCCGCAACTACGAGATCTCGCGCTCCGTCCCCGTCCACAAGCTCTACGCCAAGCTCGAGCGCGGCGCCGCTGACAACGGCATCATCGAGTGGTCGCTCTCGCACTCGTCGCTCGAGGAGGTCTTCCTCCACGTCGTCGAGCTGTTCTGGGCCGAGGGCGGCGACGCCGTCCGCGCCGAGCGCGCCAAGGATGTCGAGCTTGCCCGATTCGGCTCGTCCGCCTCGAGCTCTAACGGCTCGGGATCGTACGTTTACTCGGGCGAGGACGACGACGGCAACAATAGCGACGATTCGTCCACAGATGGCGGCGAGGATGAGTCGTACTCGTCGTCGACGTGAGACGGTGCGGTAAAAGAAATGTTGTCCAGCGATGGCCAGAGATGTAGATGAGGCTGGGGCGGGTAGGCGGAGATCTGGGCTGCTGCTACCGGGCGGACTCCGGGTGCGGGTGGCGTGACATGGTCAATCCGCCGGAACGCGTCGCGTCGCCTTGACCCGCTCGCCCGCCCACCTGCATCGATGGCGGTGTTTTGGCTGGGCAGACTCGCCTACAGCTCGGTCATGCACCAGCTTCGGCAAGGATGGCGACGGACGTCCCGTGCGCAGCTAGCGGCAGCCGAAGAAGCAGTGCTTGCCAAATACGTTCGCCATTCCCGTCGCCGCCTCGGTCTCGTCGACCTCGTCCTGCCCGTCCCGACTCCGTCATGTTCGCTCGCCGCCATCTCACGCCTCTGGGCCTCTCGCTTTGCCATCTTTGAGCCAAAGTCTTCCGCCGGCACCTCTGCCCACCGCGCCGCCTCCATCCCTGCTGCGGCTGGTCGCCCTGGCGAGTCGCCACCTGCTGTGGATGCCGTTACCGCCGGCATCAACACCCTGATCTTGCCCGGCGACGAGGTCGACATCGATGGCGAGTCGGACGAGACCGCCCTGGTTGTTGTCCATGGCTATGGCGCCGGGCTGGGCTTCTTCTTTCCTGTCTATGACGCCCTGGCCGAGGCTGTTGGCCCGCGCAAAACCGTCTATGCGCTCGACTGGCCGGGCATGGGTGGTTCGACCCGGCCAGCAGCTCTTCGCCGTCATCTCAAGCGGCTCAAGTCCGAAGCCGACGCCGGCGTCCGAACTGGCGATCACGCCCGCCTTGCTGCCGCTGTGGATGCCTGCGAGCACCTCTTTGTTGCCGGCCTTGAGGCCTGGCGCGAGGCGCACGGCATCAACCGCATGGCGCTTGTTGGCCACTCGCTTGGCGGCTACCTCGCCGCCGCCTACGCCATGACCCATCCAGACAAGCTTTCATCACTTGTCCTCGCCTCGCCGGCGGGCTTTACCCGTCGCGCTGCCACTGATGCGCCTGCAGCGGGCGCGGATGGTGCTAACCACGGCGCCCGCCAGCTCCCGGCTGCGGCGCACGTCATCGCGCAGATGTTTGATGCCAACGTCACGCCGCAAACCGTCATCCGGTTGTTGGGGCCGTATGGCCATCGGCTTGTGGCTGCAGCCGTCGAGCGCCGGTTCGCTCACGTCCCGCCGGACGCCCGCAGGCTCATCGCCGAGTACCTCTACCACGTCTCGGCAGGCGACGGATCGGGCGAGTATGCCCTGGGCGTTTTCTTCCGTCTCCATCTCGGCGACACAGCCGGCGCGGATCATCGGGGCCTCCTCCCTCACGCCCCACTCATTCCACGGCTGGAGGACGCGCTTGCCTCTGGCAGCCTTCCGCCCACCTCCGTCCTCTTTGGCGACCACGACTGGATGCTCAACCGCGGGACAAAGGCCGATCTCGACACTGCTCCGTCGCCCCTCCGCGACAACACCATCATCGTTCCCACTGCCGGACACCATCTGTACATGGACAACCCATCCGGCTTTGTCGATGCCATCATGGGCTCTGTTGTCTTGTAATGCTCCTCGCGTCGCCAATGCCCGTCCGCACCCTGTGCCCAACGTCATCAAGCCACCATCTGACCATGGGCTACCTAGTCAGCCAGTAATGGATGTCATCCCACCACTATGCCCTGCCCTGTTTGCCCGGGGGATTAGCCCAGATCAATCACCTTGCCCATCTCCTTCCCCCTGCCCCTGCCCCGCGCTCCCCCCGTTGATCGATCACGATCGATCACGATCGATCACAGCCATGCCACCCTGCCACCCCCAAGCCCCACCGTACGCCCACACGGTCACGGCCCTGGTCACCCCACCTCGAGACAGAGGGGGGGGGGGGGGGGCAACCATGAGCATGTTGAGCAGCGACAGTGACTGCGCTGTGGGGGGAGGACCGTACCCCTCGCCCTACACCACCACCTCCTCATTCTCCTTCTCCTCGGACGACGACGACCGCGACCATGATCATGTCTGCGACCATGATCACGACCTCGACCATGACCACGACCTCGACCATGATCATGTCTGCGACCATGATCACGACCTCGACCATGATCACGACCTCGACCATGATCACCACCGCGACCATGATCACCACCGCGACCATGATCACGACCTCAACCATGATCTCGAGCTCAACGTCAACCGTGACGGCGACGGCGACGAAGACCCCACCCGCAACAGTGAACGTCGTGCTGGTGGTCTGGCTGATGGCAAGCCTCATGTTCGCGTGCCTCTGCAGAAGCAACGGTCACGGAGACGACGACGGAGGAGGCAGGCAGACGGCCCGTTGCCGCTCGCAGGCAAGACTGAGGTCCTTGTTGGGCTGCTCGACGTCGCTGATGGCGCGGGTCCTTCTGCCCTGACTCGGCCTCGCGCCGAGGCCAGCTCTCCGTCTTTGCAGCTGCCAGAGCGCCCCGCCCGCAAGCATCGCTCCAGACGTCGCAACAGTGCAAGAGCCGACTCGACGCCACAGCGATCGTTCGATCGTCGTCCTCAGCGCAACAGCAAGGGCGAGGGCGGCGACAAGGGCTCGTCGCAGGCACCGCCGTCGGCCTCTGCAGTCCGCCGACCGCAGTTCTCGTGCGACCCGGTCGACCTGAGTCGACAGCGGCAGGCGGCGTCAAGCTCACGTTCGACGGCGTCGTGGAGCTCGCGATCGACCTCGCAGCCGTCGTCACGGACGTCAAAGTCGTCGCAGAAGCAGCAAGCGCTCGAAATGGCCCGCATGGACTGTCCACTCGAGACGCCCAACCCAGTCTGGTCCTTCCCTTTTACCTCGACGTCGGCCTGTACTGGTACTCGCGCGCCGGCGAGTGCATCCGCCACGTGCCCGGCGAGGCCAACCCATTCTTCGACCCGGGCGCCCGGACCGTCATCTACGTCCACGGCTGGCAAAAGACGACCACTATCCGTGGCTTCCGCGAGACCTTTCACTGGAAGGCCAACGCGCCGGCACATGGGCTCGACGTCGACGTCGCTGCCGCCTGGCTTGACGACGGTTGGAACGTCGGCATCTTCTACTGGAACCAGTACGCCGATGAGCCGGCGCTTCGCCACGCCGAGGCCAAGATATGGACCGCCTCATCGAAGGTCGGCATGCGCTGGCGCCGTCTCGTTGTCGAGATGGACGGCCCGGTCCCGATGCGCAAGACCGTCCATGCCTCGTCGCCACCGTCCACACCTTCGGTTGCACACCTTCTCTGCCAGGCCTACATCGCCCTCTACGCTGCCGCAGACGATGCAACCCCGCCAACACCGTCAGACATCCGCCTCGTTGGGCATTCGCTCGGCGCCCAGGTCGTCGTCGCCGCCGCACACGAGCTCCATCACCAGGCCGCCGCGGGTGCCCTTCCGAACTGGCTCCCGCTTCCCACGCGCGTCACCCTCCTCGACCCAGTGTTCACCCCGGGCAAGAAGAGCTACCTCGGCCGCCGATCCATCGGCACCACCCTGCGCAGGCTTGTCGATGCCCTCGCCCGCTACGGTCTCGCTGTCGAGTCGATCAAGTACTCCAAGGTCAACGAGCTCTGGTCCGGCTCGGACCGCAGCAAACGCGTCCGCCTCCACGCTGCCCATGTCGACATGCGGTCCGATCCGGCGTCCATTCCCAAGCATGCCATCACACATCGCCACTCCTCCGCGCCCTCGCACTACTTTTTCGCTTACGCCCCGCGTCGCCCATCCGAGCACGCTCTCGAGGAGGTCGTCGAGAAGCGCCGCGGCCTTCTCGGCAAAAAGTCGTACGCCACCGTCGGTCCGTGGTACCCGCTCCCGCGCCGCTCCCACGCAGAAATCCGCGAAATGATGGACTCGATGTACCGCTGGAAGCAGATCTCTGCACACTCGTGGCTCCGCACCGAGCACGCCTCGTAGCGCCAGCCCGCTGCAGCCTGACTGTCTGATGCATGCATTGCTGTCATTCGTGTCAGCAGCGATTGGCAACGATTCCGTGAGGGTGTTGTTGTTGAGGAGGAAACTAGCTGGGCTGATCAAGAAGACAGAGAGGGCAGATCGTGAGGATCTTAGACCAATGGGTATGTCGCGAGGGGATGAAGGGAGAAGGCAAGTAGAGGAGATAGAATGGATGGCTGAGAAGGAGCATTACAAATTTGTGGGAACTGAAAAAGTTAAGATCATCAAGAAAGTGGGAAGACATGGTCATAGCCATGCTCACACGATGTACAACAATGCAGCATAAGGCATCTCTTCCACAACATCTTGCGCGAGAGCCTCTTTATCTGGTCTGCAACGACAATTAAGAGCATCTCATTGTTGGGCGACTACGCCCACTCGACGATGTGGACACCCTTGCCCTTCTTCCACACGCTACCGGGCACGGCGCCCGACTTGACAAACGAGACAACGGCGGCGGTGCCTGGAGCCTTGGTCACGGTCGGATTGTTGGGGTCGGCCACGACCGAGTTGTTGAACTCGATGCGGTCGTTGACGGCGCACTCGAGGCGGCGGCCAGTGAGGTTGAGGTACTGCGAGGAGATGGCTGAGACAAGCTCCGGCAGAAGGTTGGGCGCGCCAGGGGCGGCGGCGTTGAGGACAACATCGCGGATGGGCTTCTTCATGTGAATGACGACGAGCCCATCGCCCTGGGGCGAGACCGAGACCTTGGTCACCTCTGCAAGCGGGATCGCCTCCTTCTTGACGACAAACTTCTTCGGGTCGTACTTGTACATGTTCTCATCGGTGACGACGAAGGTGCGGAGCTGTGGCTTGCCCTTGGGGTTGACCTTCTCGACGTTGGCAGCGAAGCGAATCATCGAGTCACCGCCGGCCTGGAAGAGAGTCACGATGGCGTGCTTGTACTTTGCAAAGCCAGGGTTTGTCGCCGGGTCATCGAGGTAGTCGCCCTTGAACGGCGCGTTGCAGTTCCACGGCTTGCGGCCCGAGAGCAGCGTGTGCGCCTCGACCTTTTGCCGCATCACGCCCTGCTGCGCCTCGGTCAGCGAGGTGACCATGTTGTACGCCCACCAGTTGAGGTGGACCTTCTTGAGGTTGGCCACGCCCGACGCAATGAACGTGGTCTCGGCACGCGGCCACTGGATATACCGCCCCCAGTTCGGATCCGACTCAACGCCGGCAAAGACCTCGGCAACAGCCCGGAAGTACCGCTTTGAGCGGTAGCGCCGCCAGAGGTCCTGGATCTTGAACGCCATCTGGTGCTGCACAAAGTTCTTGCGGACCGAGTACCCGCGCCAGACCTTCTGGATCATGACTGCCACCTTGGGCATTTCTTCGATCCGCCGCTGCTCGACGAGCATGAACGTCGGCGCGTCCTTGATAAACAGCTTGGTGCGGCCGAGCTCGTACTCGGACCGGTCGACGCCGATGTGGTCGAGAATGGCGACGACGCCGTCGCGGGGTGAGCCGCGCCACACCGGCCATGTCTGGGGCGAGATCATTTTGTACCGCCAGAGGAAGCGCTCGTACGGCTGGCGGTTGCAGAATCCAGCACGCCGGACCCGAACCGTCTCCACCAGGTTGAGGTACACAATCTGGTGCCGGACACGCTCGGCGTCGAGGTAGTTGGCCCGCTTCTCGTCGTTCGACTTGATGCACCGGATGTAGTGCGGTGTGCACGCGTCGAGCTTCTCGATAAGCTCGCAGACCGAGGTCTTGAACTTGTACCCGGCAGTCTTGGGCCGGGTCTTGCCGCCGCCGGCACCCTGCCGGCCGCGCCCGCTCCCAAACCGCGAGCCGCCCGCCGACGAGCTTGGTCCGCCGCGCCCGCGTCCGCCGCCGCCACCCGCACTCGCCTTGGGTGTGAACATCTCGACAACCATCGAGTTGGCCGAGGTCATGAGCGCCATGACGAGGTCGTCAAAGAACGTGTCCTTGTTCTTAAACAGGAACGAACCGGTGTTGTACATGACTGCGCCGGCGTAGTGGTCGATAACAAACTCCTCGGGCTCGCCGACGGTGGCGTCAAAGTGAGCCGAGGCCGAGAGGGAGCCGGCAAACTTCTCGACCACCGTCACGGGCGTGTTTCGGCCGACAAGGCAGGCCTCGTCGAGGAGCGGAATGATGCCCGGCTGGGCGCGACCCTTGCCCTCGATCATACTGATGATGGGCTCGTTGTCAAAGTAGTCGATCTCGGTCCAGGCGATGCCCTCGGCAGCATACTCGGCCTGCTCCGACTTGAGCACCTTGTTGATGAACAGCTGCTGAAGCTTCTCGTTACAGTAGTTGATGCAGAACTGCTCAAAAGAGTTGAGTTCCATGATCTCAAAGCCGTAGATGTCGAGGACGCCGATGACGACCTCGGAGGCGTTGGAGGCCGAGGCCTGGATGTTGAGGTTGATGCGGTCGACGACCCACTCAAAGAGCGCAGCGTAGAGGCCCTTGCACAGCGCGTCGCGGGTAAAGTACGCCTGATCGAGGTCAAGCGGGACCATGATGTGCGACTGCCGCGCTGACGCACCCGATGAGATAGACCGCGACTTGAGTGCGGACTCGAGCGCCCCGTAGTCGACCTGCAGCAGGTCGGCGACAATGGCGAGGAGCTGCGGGTTCGACACCGCCACACAGTCGGTGTTGAGGTCGGCTGACGCGCGTGCGTCCGGCTCAAAGTCGAGGTTGCCAAGGTGCAGGATGGCAGCAAGAATGCGCATGCAGTTGTCAAGGTCGGCCTTGGCCCACCCAAGCACTCGCATGGCGTTCTCCATTTCCTTAAAGTCGGCGGCATCGCGAATGCCTGGGACCGAGTACAAGCCTGAGCACGCGAGGTAGTTGTACGCCGACGGGTCGGCGTCGAGCGAGAGCGCAGCGAGCCGGCCAGTCTGCGAGAGCAGCTGATAAAAGACGTGGAACGAGCGCTCGCCCTCGCCACGGGTCACCACACGCGACTTTTCCAGCAGGTACTGCGAGATGCGCCCACCGACGGGCGCTCCGCCGTAGTCAAACTGGATCTCCATGTACTTGCCGAATCGCGACGAGTTGTTGTTCCGCAGCGTCGTTGCGTTGCCAAACGCCTCCAAGATTGGGTTCGACTTGAGGAGCTTGTCCTTGATGTCGCCGGCCATCGACGACGACGACGAGATGTACGCAATGTACTGCATGAAGATCTTCGACGCTTCGGTCTTGCCGGCGCCTGACTCGCCGGTGATGAGCACGCACTGGTTCTCCTTGCTCGACATCAGCTCACGGTACGTGTCGTCCGCCAGCGCATAGATGTGCGGCGAGACCTCGTACATGGCGCGGCCGATGTACTCGTCCATGGTCGCCTCCGAGTACATGTCGAGGTAGCAGAACGGGTTGACCGAAACCACTTGTTCGCCGATGTACGTCTGTGCGGGTGTGAGAGAATGGTGAGTGTGATTGAAGTGATGGGTGTGGTTGATGTGATGGGTGTGGTTGAAGTGATGGGTGTGGTTGACGTGATCGATGTTGTTGGTGTGATTGACGTGATCGACGCGACGTGATCGACATCGTTGGTGTGATTGACGTGATCGATGCGATCGACGTGATCGATGCGATCGACGTGATCGACGTGATCGATGTGATCGACGTGATCATCGTGATCAACGTGATCGTCGTGATCTCCATGATCAGTGTCATTGGTGTCATCGATGCGATGCATGTCGTTGTGGCCATCAACGAGCTGGTAAAATCCATGGCTGCACCACAAAACTTTGGTGCGGCGGAGAAATTTCACCGGAAACAGTCGGACGGTCAGACCACGACGACGTGGAGGGGGGGGGGGGGGAGGAAGGGGGGGGGGGGGGGGTATAGGGATGGCGGAAAGGGGGGGGAGATGAGAAGGGGGAGTGTAAAGAGAGGGAATGTATGCATGTAGAGTATGGTAGCACATACATAGATATTCCGCGTGTTGAACCGTGTGGTAAGGTTCTCCATGAAGCCCTCTTCAGAGACTTTGTCGTTGCCAAGAAGGCACATGTCGTACAGTCCCTCACCTTGCTACACATAGTCATGACCATAATCACACACTCTCTCATTGGTAAGTACACTGTCATGTTGCCCATACTCTCCTCTACATGCTCACCTCTCTTACGTATACATACCTTAAACATGATGGAGTTGCAAGCGTCAAATGTCGCCACGTGAAACGCGGCCGGCTGACTGCCGCAATGCCCACGCCGTCCTGCTCTGCCTCTTACTTGATCGCCACGTGAATCCCATCATCTGCACCCATCTCTTTGTGATCGCCTCGATGTGGCTGGCCCAAGTGCACGCAAGAGACAGCGTACACTATCACATACCTTCCTCTCCTCCCTACTCATTGCCACAATCATGTATCCACACGGCTGCCTACGCCACAGGGATCGAGAGCTGGCGGGTGGTGGGCTCGTCGGCGGCGGGCGAAACGACCGAGAGCTCGACCGTAACAGCGGCGCGTGATGCAGCAACAAGCTGGCGCGCAAGCCGCAGCTGCTCGCCGAGGTCGGACTTGGTCGCGAGGAAGGCATCATTCCAAAGCGTGAGCCGATCGCCCGGCGCCAGACCCGCGGCGGCGGCGGGCGAGCCTGGCGCGACCTTGGTGACAACCAAGCCGGCGTGCGGCGCCTTAGCCTGCTTGACCACTACACCAAGCGGCGGTGGCGTCGGCGCCACACCAAGCAGCTTGTCCACCACCGACTTGAGCCGTGCTTCCACGTCAGCAACATCCAGAGCTGGGCGTGGCATCGCCGGCTCGGGCGCAGCAAGAGTCGGCCGTCCGACAGCTGCTAGTTCGGATCGCAGCTCCGCGTTGGCCTTGGCGAGGACCCGGGCATGAGCGGCGAGTTGATCACGCTCCAGATCAGCGAGACGGACAGCCTCGCGTGCCTCGCGGAGCGCGGCGTACACGTCACGGTGGGTCTCCCGCGGCAGCGGGCGGGCGCCTGGAGAAGCGATAGTGCTCACAGGCTCGCCCTTGTCTACCGGGCTGAGGAGGACGGGATCGACCAGCGCGCGGTCGATCATCCACTCGGACCGCCGCGCCAAAAGCTGGTCGACGGTCTCCTGCAGCGCCACCGACCGGGCGTTTGCGGCCTTGAGGGCTTCCTCAAGCTGCTCTGTCCTTACACCTGACGCACCGCCCTCTAGGTCGGCAATCCGGGCGTGGAGGGCGTCGACTTCCGCGGCGACACGCTTGTCCTTCTCGCGGGTGGCGAGGCGAAGGTTGACCAGCTCGCACTCGGCCGCCTTGAGCTGCGCACCGAGGGCGAGGACTGCATCGTCTGCCTCATTTGGTGGCGGCGTCGACCGTGCTGAAACAAGCGCCTTCTTCAGCATCTCCTGCGCATGCTCGGAGATCTTACGTTCAGTCTCCAGCGCTGCGATGCGGTCCGAGATTGCCGACGCATTGGCCTTGAGATCGGCGGCCATTGCCGCATTCGCCTCCGTCGCGGCATCAAGCTCGGCAAGCAGTGCCGCGTTCTCGGCCTCGAGACGTTCGGTCCGATCTGCAAGGGCAGCGTGGAGCTCGGTGCGCTCGACGTCCAGCCGGGCAAGCTCATCTTCAGCGACAGCAAGCGTGTCTTGAACCTGATCGCGTTCGGCGACAGCAGCGTCGAGGAGTGCAGCCAGCTGATGCTGGGCAGCCAGCGCGTCGGCCAGCGACACCTCCAGCTCCGCAAGCTCCTCGGACGAGGCTGTGGGCTCAGCCCGGAGAGTCGCGAGGTGGACCTCGGCGTCGGCCTCGGCGTCGCTCACGCGAGAAGATACATCGGCCATAACTTGCTGCAGCTGACGCTCAGCACACGCCTGTGTCGCAACAAGTTCGGCCTGTGACCTTGCAAGGGCACTCGCCAGGCGGACATCAGCCTGGACCTGGGCTTTGGCCAGTTCGGCAGCGAGGCGGGCATTGGCCTCGGTCGAGGCCTGGGCGAGGGCGGCATCGCTTAGCCGCGCTGCGCGAGCAAGTTCGTGTCGGCATCCGCGCGAGCGGTAGCGAGGGCACTCGCCAGGCGGACATCAGCCTGGACCTGGGCTTTGGCCAGTTCGGCAGCGAGGCGGGCATTGGCCTCGGTCGAGGCCTGGGCGAGGGCGGCATCGCTTAGCCGCGCTGCGCGAGCAAGATTCGTGTCGGCATCCGCGCGAGCGGTAGCGAGGGCACTCGCCAGGCGGACATCAGCCTGGACCTGGGCTTTGGCCAGTTCGGCAGCGAGGTGGGCATTGGCCTCGGCCGAGGCCTGGGCAAGTGCGGTATCACGGACCTGGGAAAAGGTACCGCTCGCGATGACCGGGGTGGTAGCACCCCGGGCCCCTAGCTCCACCCGCAGGTCGTGAAGCTGAGCCTCATGAGTCGCCTCTTGCTCCTTGACGCGTCCAACTAGAGCATTCCGCTCGTTGGTAACAGACGCAAGACGCGCCGACATTGCGTCTCGTTCCTCGGTCAGCGTCTCAACTTGCAGCCTGACGTCGTCGGCTGCCGCGATCTCCGCATCCCGCTCGCCAGCCAGCGCCGCCAGCCGGGCCGACATTGCATCTCGCTCCTCGGTCAGCGTCTCAACCTGCAGCCTGACGTCGTTGGCTGCCGCGATCTGCGCATCCCGCTCGCCAGCCAGCGCCGCCAGCCGGGCCGACATTGCATCTCGCTCCTCGGTCAGCGTCTCAACCTGCAGCCTGACGTCGTTGGCTGCCGCGATCTGCGCATCCCGCTCGCCAGCCAGCGCCGCCAGCCGGGCCGACATTGCATCTCGCTCCTCGGTCAGCGTCTCAACCTGCAGCCTGCTGCCGCGACCTGTGCAGCCAGGGCATCCCGCTCGTCAGCCAGCGCCGCCAGCCGGGCCGACATTGCATCTCGCTCCTCGGTCAGCGTCTCAACCTGCAGCCTGACGTCGTCGGCTGCCGCGATCTGCGCATCCCGCTCGCCAGCCAGCGCCGCCAGCCGGGCCGACATTGCATCTCGCTCCTCGGTCAGCGTCTCGACCTGCAGCCTGACGTCGTCGGCTGCCGCGACCTGTGCAGCCAGGGCATCCCGCTCGCCAGCTAGCGCCGCCAGCCGGGCCGACATTGCGTCTCGCTCATCAATGAGCGCCTCGACCTGCAGCGTCGCATCCTCGACCGCCACAGCCTGTGCATCCCGCTCGTCAGTTAGCAAAGCCAGCCGAGCCGACATTGCGTCTCGCTCCTCGGTCAGCGTCGCAACTCGCAGCTTCGCATCCTCGACCGCTGACTTCTTCTCAACCAATTGAGCGGACACTGCGTCCCGCTCATTGGCAATTATCGCCACTTCGTCGAGCGCGGCCTTGTGTTGCACCTCCAGCCGGTCACGCTCCGCAACGACAGCTCCCATCTGAAGCCGAAGCCCATCAAGGACAGCGACGTGCTCGCCTACGCCAGCCTCGACCTCTGCCGACATCGCGTCCCGCTCTTCGACCACAGCGGCGAGCTGGTCCGACACCTGGTCGCGCTCCTGCGCAAGGCTCTCCATTTGCTGCTGCAGACGGTCGAGCTGCAAGACTGCAGCTTGCGCATCAGCGGTCATGGCGGCCACCTGTGCCACAACTCCACCGTCGTTGCCTCCGACATCATCCGCTTCACTCACCGCCACCCGCCCAGCAAGCGCTCCCAGCTCGGCCGAGAGCGCGCGGAGCCCGGCCTCAGCAGACGCACGAGCCTCCGCAGCTTGCGTGACCTCAACCCGCAACTGTGCCGCCAGCTCATTCCGCTCCTTTGTCACCCGCCGGGCCTCGGCCTCGGCCGCCGCCTGCCCACGCACGGCATCTTCGAGCTCGACCTCCAGCACATGCAGCCGTGCCGCAAGCGCATCGCGCTCCTGCACCACCTCACGGAGCAATGCCGCCGTCTCAACCCGGGCCTGCTCCGAAGCTTGGGCGTCGTCGACCTGCTCCGCCAGCGCCGAGAGCTCATGCGAGACCCGCCGGAGCTCGGCCTCGGCCCCGGCTGACGCAAGTACCTTTTCAGCGAGCGCATCCCGCTCGGCCGCAGCCTCGGCAGCACCGACCGACGCCTTCCGAAGGATGGCTATGTCGGCGTCCGCGCGCGCGACCCGGGCTAGCAGCGTGTCTCGCTCTTCCACCACCCGCCGCAGGTCGGCTTCGGCGCCTGCACGCGCCCGTGCCACCTCCAGGGCGTCAGCTTCTGCTGCCGCAACCTTGGCGGCGAGCGCATCGCGCTCGGCCAGCACCCGCTTGAGCTCAGCCTCGACACCACTCCGCGCCGCGGCGTCGGCGGCGACGGCGCGTACCTGCAGCGCTAGGGCATCGCGCTCGCGCGCGACCTCTTGCAACTCGGCCTGCGAGTTGGCAACAGCCTCCTGCGCCTCGGCTGCCAGGCTCTCGTTGAGCTCGGCCTCGTCAAGCAGATCGCAGAGCTGGAGCAGTGCCTCGTCGCGCTCCTTGATGGCGGCGTTTTTCTCGGCCACTGCGTCTTTCCATGTCCCGAGCTCGACCTCCATCTCGGACATCTTGGCGCAGAGCTCTTCGAGGATGGCATCACGCTGCCCAATGGCGGCGTTTTTCTCGGCCACAGCCTCTTTCCACAGCGCCAGTGTGGCGTCGGCCTCGTCGCTAGGAAGCGCCGGAAGTGCGGCCTCGTACGCGGCCTCGCGCGCCTCGAGCTCCTCAACCCGCTGCCGCTGGGCAGCGAGCTCGGATTCGAGACGCTCTTGATCGGCACAGAGGAGAGTGAGCACGTCGTCACGCTTGACAAGCGCAGCGTCTTTCTCGGCCACGGCCTCTTGCCACACACTGAGCTGGTCACGGAGAGCGACAACCTCGTTGGCGGCGTTGGCCTCGCGCCGCAGCCGCTCCATCCGCTCTCGTCGGGCGCGCTTCTTCTTCTGGCGGCGCCAATCGCGTGACGAGTCGAGCACACCTCCAGGTGCTGGCACAGTGTCGGACTCGTTGAGCGTTGCGGTGGCCGAGTCATCAGCCACCAGCCCACGCCTCTTTGCCAGGCCGTCAAGCTCGAGCCGCGAGACATCACTGGCGGCGCGATCATGGTCCTGAGCATCAAGATCAAGCCTGGCGACTTCGCCACCAGACGAGGAGAGATCGTCGTCTGCAGTTTCATCATAGCTCTCCAAGAGGAAGTCACTCTCGCCCATGAGCATGATACTGCTGTTGCTACTTGCATCATCCGTGGCCAAGCGAGGACGACGAGGATCAAGCCGATGAGACGAAAAAGAGCCATGATCATCCTCCATTGACTGTATCTGATCATGACGCAGTTCACCAGGCCAGGTGATACCATTTTGGACCATTCGAGAGAGAACGAAGAGCTGTGAACCTCCAGAACCTCCAGAACCTCCAGAACCTGCATGGTGTTCAGCAAGGTGTTCAGCAAGGAGGAGCGCACGCTCTTCAGCTGTGAGGTCGAGCTCGCTCACATGTGCTTCCCCACAGGACATGGCACTCCTTCTACACGGTACACAAGAGTAAAGAGAGTCCAGTGCCAGCTCCGCAAGCTCCTTCTCCGCCTTTCCCCTCTCCTGCTCCTCGCCGTCGCCCGCCGCAACGAAATCTGCCGAATCTCCGCCGCCCGTCACTCACCGCCCTCCGCTCGCTGCCCATTCCTGCCCACCTCTCGCTTCGCCTGCTCCCCCCCGTCATTGCAATATTACAATACTCTCTCCTGCACAGGAAGCCGACCATGCACTCCCACGATCGATCGTGTCGAGAAGCAGTTCTACCCACAAATCGCTGCTGATCGCCCCGCGCGCCAGCTCATCATCGCGCACTTCCTAGTCCTCGTCGCTTGCCTCGGACCGAACTACGTTCCATTGGCATGGCTATTGATCACTCTTGCTGCATCGTCGTCAACCAGCTGTACTAGATCATCTACACCCAACCTATTCCTCCCATTAATTCCCAAGCTTACCCGCCTCCCTTGACTCTGATCGTGGATGGCCTCGCAGCTTGCAAGGCAACCGTGTGGCACATAGTCAACACATGCGATAACGGCAGACACAGGTTCAGAGCGGACGACATAGATGCAGTGCGATGCGAGTGATCAAAGCAAACAAGAGCGTACGTCTGTACTGCATCGCGCGTGCGAAGCGACCAGTTGTCGGCGGCTTGCGTCTGCGCATTCGTTTGCTACTGACCGGCGAAGCGGCTCAGCGGCTCGGGACTCCGGGGACCATCGATTGGCCGGCAGCGGCTACTGTGAGACCTCGTCACCAGATACGTGTGCGAATGGGAGGCAGGCACCTGACTACTTGCGTGAGCTCTACATTTGCAGCAGAGTGCAAGCGGGTGTGACTGACCATGACAGACATCCGACAGGAGCTCCATGATGCCTTCCAGGTCATGGAGGATACCTTTAACGCAGCCGACTTGGACGGTGTTGGCTCGCTCTCCATCGAGCACTGGGCAACGTACCTCATGCACCAAGGCTTCCGTGAGGTACGCACTACCTACTCCCTCTCCCCCTCAACCACATACCCTACTGCATCTCCTTATACTATGTCTCCACACCCACTTTCCCGACTTTCTCCGCTCTTCTACCCCCCCTCCCCCCCTCCCCCCCCTCCCCCCCCTCCCCACCCCCCTTCAACCGCCTGTGTTCTCCGCGACGACCAAAACGCTGCCACTTGCTCCCTTTTTAATGATATTTTCCCTTGTTCAAGAATCGTTGCCCCGTTCTCCCACCGCCCAACATCCGCTCGATTTTTCCTTCGATGCC